ATTTTTTTAATTCTCTAAGGATGATCTGTAGATTAGATTCTTCAAAATAAAGATCATCAGATTTAACAAATCAGCACCAACAGAATACAAAGTACTGTAAAAATTAAGTATGTAGACTTAATCACAAAATCTGTATTTAATTTAAAATTAATTGATAATAAATAAATTAATCCTTTTTCTTTGTTATATACTTGATGTAAGATTTTTTTATTACTTTAGATGGAAACTTATGAAAGGAATAAAATAAATACCAGAAAAGTATCATATTTATTTGGCAAAAGAGCATATGTAATCCAATGCTGCCAAGATGTTGCTTTTGCTTGTGTAGTAATACACTTATGTTTAGAAGATTTATCCCCATAGAAACAAGTCTACAAGGCCAACAGATTCTTCTTCTTACCCCACCCTATAGCAAAAAGATACAAAGCAACACAGCCTCCAACTGTACCACAAACGGTTGCCCAAAATTGAGTAGGTTGACCGTCAAAGAGGCTAATACCGATGTTCATTCCAAACAACCCAACCACCACAATACCTGCATTCAGTATCATGTTTGCAGTACTGAGCATCACTCCCATCTCCAGCAGCTGATTCTGTTTGTCATCCAACATGATGTTGATACAATCTTCAGTGTCATCCACATACTCGCTCATCTTCACAAAATAGGAGGCAAATTCACTTAAGCAAGTCTACTCTTGTGTGTGTAAGCAAATACACTTAAGTGAGTTTACTCTCACGTGTATATGCAAAGGCACTTAGCATATCAACAATTGTGCATGAACACGTGTATGTAGATTAGTCAGCTTAAATTTCAGAATTCAAATGCTAAAATTTGAAAAATTAACTACTAATTCAAAATTTTTTTTTTCTCTCTCTACTAAAATCAGCAGCCAGTTGAACTGCTGGTGGAAAAAAGAGTCAGGCAGGGAAGTTGGCAAGCCTGCCATTTCTCTTCCATCAATGCAGTGAGGAGAAAAAAGACAAAGGGCAGCAAGTTCTAACTTTGCATTAGGTTTCAGGCAATCAAAAAGGATGAAAATGGATGGAAGAAACCATAAAGGAAAGGGGAAAACAAAAAAAAAAAAAAACTAAAACTCTGTTATGAGGCTGTTAAAAAATTCAAATGTATGCAGCTTTATATCAGAAACTTCACGGCGATAAGTATGTTTCACATATAAACTAACCAATGCCAAACACTGTCAAATTTTGGTTTTATATCAGCAAGGATAGAAAGTGATCCATATTTTGGGAAAGTGATTGATCTAATTCTACAGAGTGCTGCTACTCAGTGTTTGTTTTTAATGATGCAACTATGATTACAGAGACTGGAAGACTACCTTTCATCTCAGACAGTGCTACTCTCATTAAGAACAAAGGAACTTCCTACTAAAACATATCCCACTTCTCTTTTATTGGTTATCAGAAAAGATGCTTGCTTCACACTTTGGTGGGATGTTGTATTATATCAAATAATTTGAAATTGGGTAAAACTGTCAGTTAATTGATTGTTTTAAATGAGCAACATGAAAATATATCAGGAACTGAGAGTTGCCACTACATAACGTGAGATATAAGTAAAATTCAATAAACCAAAAGAACCATACTGCATAGAACATAAAAAATTTTATGTAAGTGCTAAAGAAGGACAAAAGATACATACATCAGATAGTTTCTGCAGGATGCCATCTATCTGCACGAAATAGGCCTCTAAAAGCATCTCCAGCTCCTCTATATTGAGTTTCAGACTTGTGGAGATTTCAGAGCTGTCATCTGATTTGGATTCTTCAGACCTATAGAAAAAATCTCATCTGGGAGTGAGAGGTGAAAATGCAAGAAAAATAAATATAACATTCAAAAATCATAGAGTAACCTGCAACTGCAAGAAATAGTTTCACTCATAAAACCTTTAGGACAATAAATATTTTTCAAACTTGTCCCACTGTTTGTCTTGACACTGGGTTCATAACACGTACATTTCATCTTGCATCTAAAAATTACATATGTAGTAAAGAAAGCACCAAAGGTCTTCATCTTGTATTGGATCTTAACTTTGCATTGAAATAAAAGAAACCCAAAATATCTTGCCATAGAAGTGAATAGTGACCATTTTACATCATAGATTTTTGGATCTAGGATTTTGCATCGTGAATAAAAGCACAAGAATTGTTGCAAAAAAAAAAAACTTGGTCTGAATGCAAGTCTAGAGTAGAATTCTCACAAGAAAAAAAGGGGGAAAAAAAAAGACTGGGCTGTTGGCTATAAAGCCTCCAAGTTAGACTGAAGAAACCATGGTAATAAAGCTTTTTTTTAGCCAATACTAATAAAGGTATTCACTTGAAGTTAAATCACATACATAGGCTATCTTGAGAAAGGTAATAGTTATTCACTTGGTGCATCTCTTATTTAATAAGAATAATCAATAATAAGCTGAAAAAGTGAGGCCCAAGTAGGGACCAAAGATTATGGTTAGCTCTTTTCACTTGTGGGACCAGTGAATAGGCATGCATCCACTCTTTGGATGCAACATTGCATGTTCCAGCTCATTCAACATTGATCTAAATAGGAGTATTCATTAACTATGTTCTTATTCATATTTCAATTAACTTTTATCAAATGTGTCAACCAGAATCAGTCAGACTGTGTTGAATAGCTGTGACATGTATAATTTCCTAATGCATTAGGAAGCACCTTTCATCATCCAGTTCATTTTCATCATTTGTTTGTTCACTTAAGAATTCCTAAAATAGCGAGGACTGGCAGTCAAAAGTATAATTTGCATGATGCTAGAAACAATGGTTAATTCAATTAATGTTATAAGGAAGTACCTTTTATCATCCACTTCATTTTCAGCATTATATGCTCCTTCTCTAGATGATTGATCCATTGACTGAGCAACAAGTTTTTCTGTCAAATACATTTCGGCCATATCATTGTCATCATCCAGCAAATGTTCAAGTTCATCTCTCACCTATAAATAAAAAGGAAAATTGGGAAAAGATTAACTAAAGACATCAAACCGGTGAAAGATTTATGCAACTTTAGAGAAATAAACTTCATTTTTAAGTGCTAACCTGTCATAGTTAACCAATTAAAATGCAGCAAACAACAATATGAAAACAATTCCAATGGGCCACACCTGCCACCCTTGAAGGTGGAGCTTAGCCTAATGCTTGTGGAGGCTTGGTTTGCATGTATCCATGAGATTAGTTAGGCCAAAGACATGGATACCAATGTGATAAAAAAAAAAAAAAATGCAGCAAACTACAATATGAACACATGGACAAATTTATTGAAGATTTTGAGATTGCTGCAAGATGCAGGAGATACATAGTAAATGTCTTCATGCAATAAATGAAAACAATAAATTTTCTCATCCAAGTTTTCAAAGCAAAACAACCCGTGGAGCACAGGTATCTTCCCTGCCATTGAACAGCAAAGTGGGAATTTAAGAACTGTCCATATCCATATTAGAGTCATGAAAAGTCTAAATCGCAATGACTGCAGTAAAAGTATGTATTGGGTTAATCCTAAAACCTACGGTCTAGTATCCCAATGTTAATCTGAAAGATTCACTTGTTAAACAGATAACTTCTGTATTATGAGAGCCAGCTGCACAATAAGGATGACCAAGATCGCTTTTAATGTCCAATGGCTTAAGAGCAACATTTATTTATGGAACATAGTCCATTCTATGGAAAAGTTTGTTAGTTTCCACAACAATGAAATTAGTAAACAAAGATAAGAGATTTGACTTCTTATGGAGTTGATGACCAACATCAACTAGAGCTGCAAAATGAGCCAGTAACTGGTTCTTGATGCGCTAGTTCAAGACAGTGAGAAGACAACACTGCCAGTAAAGATGGCTCAAGTGCCCTCACATGCCAAGGAACTCGTATTCTGACCTGATAACCAACAGTTGAACCATTTCTGTTTGCAAGTGTCACATTAGCAACAAATGCACCACATTGCCACATTAGCTCTCCTTGGCTGTGCTGAGTTCAATTTTGAGATCCATTTTGCTGAGTTCTGCTTGGAACTATCACTTTCAAACAGGTCAGTGGGTCAAAATTGCTATACTAAGCATTTTTAATAGGAAAAAACTCAGCATAGTTGTTGGATTGTTTTTGATGCTTCAAGGTGGGTTGTATTGAAGAGTTAGGCAGGAGGAATGGAGGATTGATTACTTAGAAAAACATGTTCATAAGGGTACTGAATGTTTAGATAAAATCCTTTATTTGAGATCAGAGTATGGCCCCACAATACTTCCTCCTTTCTTTTTTAAATGGTGCTATCTCAAGAATTGTATAGTTGACAATGAAAGAAAACTTGAAATGTAGAGAAAAGAATATTTGTTTCAAAACATATAGGACTGGAAAATATCACTGTTACGTTTAGAAATATGGTGAAAATTGGAGGGCATGGGGAAAAGCATGACATAAATTCCAGAAATTATCAGGACAGAGAAAGTGAAAACATGACATAAATTCCAGAAATTATAAGGAAAGAGAAAGTGAGCACATCTATGGCTATTGAAGGTACAATAGAAAATCCTTTACAAAGTTGTATTGGCCAGAAATTTGAAGATAGAAATGAGGATGTTGTGGAGCATTTGGTGATTGGAAAAGTAATTGAGGAAATTTAAGAGAATACTTTTGATGATGAAGGGTAATTGATCTTTATGGTCTTGCAAGTTGCTCAAACTGTTGATTACATATTCTTAGAAGATTTTGATGCCGGACGTCGTTTGACACCTTTCTTATTGGGGTTTAAAGGTAGAAGTCAAGTTATAACAAGAGCATATCCAACCGCACTGTAACTTTGAGCTTTCTATTCATTTAACACTTCAAGACTCGAGGTAGAGTCTTGATCAATTAGGAGAGACTGGTGTAGAACTGCAGATAAGGAAGGAAATCCTATACTTCCATGCCTTTTTTCAGTATACTTCCATGGTTATGAATTATGATGTAGACGATGCATATGAACAATTGTACACATTGTAATTTTGTATGTCTATGAACTACCAAAAAATGCACCTAGTTGTCTAATGAGAATCAACACATATGTAGCACAGCATAAAAGATTTTAAATTATCACAACCACCAAAAGACCATATTGTTGTTACCTTCTGCACACGACCAGATATTGCAACAAGTCGACTTTTTATTTGCCTTACACGCTCAAGGTTAAGCGTGCTGATCTTAGAAGTCAGTTCGTCCAAAGCAGGGTATGCCTCTTCCTGCAACGTCTGTGTCTGACAAATGCACAAGAAATCATGTAAAAAAAATCAACCATAAACGAAATGCCCGCACTTCAGTTACTGAAGTACATACGAATTTTTTATTGTCCTAGAAACCAGATGCTAACAAACAACAATACATTAATTAATTATATACCTCGGATTCAAGACACCTGCAGGCAGATTCAAGACAAGCTTCAAGTGCTCTGAACTCAAATGACGGCAACTTTGGACTAGCAGCTACTGGCTCTTCCATCGTCCTGTTTCCATCTTTTAATTCACTGTGTTCTTGAAAAGAAGGCGAACCCCATGGGACCTCATCTGCATGGTACTCCATGTCCCCTTCCATCGACTAAATGACAAAAAGCAATGAATTTTATATACTTCACACAAAACAAGGGACATAATTAGTTTTAGAAGAAAAAAAAATGTATACCGGCTGCGGCGGCGCGGGACCAGAACGAGAGATACGGTGCCGAAGGTCTTGGAGGAACTGGATGATGAGGGGGCTGGTGGAATTGATCATCAAGACCTCTTTAGCGGTGATGATGGCCTTGATATGCTCCAGATTAATGACAATGGCCCTCTCTCGCCCCAGTATCGAGGACGGATACGAGAGTACCGGATCCAGAACCCGGAGGTCCCTTGCCGGAAGCCCCGTCCGGCGCATTATGGAGTGTTTTCCGACCTCTTCAAGCAGCGATTGACCCAACTCCGACACCACAACCCATGTCCTTACCCCTATCCCCTTGCGCCGCGGTGGCGCCGGGATCTGGATTTTTCCCGTTTCTTCATCTGCTACAGCCATAAAAACAATATATTTTTAATTATTAGTACTTAAAAATAAAACAAAGTTTTTGAATTGTTATCAAACTGGGGGAAAAAATGAAAAATTTGAAGGCAGAAACGATGGCGGGGGCCAAGCGAATATGGATGGGGACAGCACTGTATGGCCGAAGAAGAAGCGCTGAGAGCGACAAAGGAAGGTGAAGATGAAAAATACAAAAGTTAAATGCTAAAATTAGCCCCTAATCCTTTCACTTTTAACAAATTTAGTCCATACCTTAATTTTGCCCATTAAGGTATCGATTTGATAATGGGTGGGGTTAATGTGATACTATTAATAGTTAAAGTTAGATATTTTTAAGAACGTAATTACTTATTATATTTTATATTGTATTTTATCAATTAAGATAAAAGGTATTGTATTGCACTTGTGCTTGGACCTTAACTCCAGTGGCGTTAGGTTACGTGTATAAGTGCATTTTCTCATCTCGAAATAACGGTTCGAATCCGATCCATTGCAAATTTGTTAAAAAAAAATAAAAGGTATGG